TTTTTTGAGACAGAATCTCACTCTGTCACCAGGCTGGAGTGCAGTGGCACGATCTCGGCTCACTACAACCTCCACCTTTCAGGATCAAGTGATTATCCTGCCTCAGCCTTCCACGTAGCTGGGACTATAGGAGTGTGTTACCACATCCTCACCTAATTTTTCTATTTTTAGTAGAGACACGGGTTTCACCATATGGGCCAGGATGGGCTCAATCTCTTGACCTCGTGATCTGCCCGCCTCGGCCTCCCAAAGTGCTGGAATTTATAGGAGTGAGCCACCGCGCCCAGCCAAGACACTATTATTTCACAAATAAATTTAGTCCCTGCTTCCTTACATATTACTATTCATATGCACTACATATTAAGTCAGATTTCTCTGGAATATCGCTGCTCACTTGGGAACTGAGTTCCAGATTTGAGCAGTCACTGCTCAGAGACCACAGTTCCACAGCTAAGGACTCACTTACCTATATTTATCTGGGTATTCTATCAAGAATTGCTAAAAATTCAGTTCTTCAACACTGACTAAAACAAAAGCCCACCTTAAAGAGGAAAAATTCATTTATATCAGCAATACCAACCTTGGCTATTTTTGGGTTTTTGCAATCAGCACTTTTCATGGTTTGTTTTTACCCTCTAAACAGATTAAAACCCAAAATATCAGTCCAACTAGAAATGGAATCTCTCACCAGGGAAGGTTTACCTCTTTTTTATTAAAATTTTATTGATACATAATATTTGTACATTTTAATGGGATGCATGTAATATTTTGTTACATGCACAGAATATAATGATCAGATCAAGGTATTTAGAGTATTTATTACCTCAAGTATTTATCATTTTTGTGCATTGAGAACATTTCAAGTCCTCTCTTCTAGCTACTTTGATATACACAATACATTGTTGTTAAGTATAGTCACCCTTGCCTACTGTTGAACATTAGAACTTATTCCTTCCATCGAGCTATATGCTTGTACACATTAACCAACCTCACTCTATTCCCCCCAAGGCCAATAAACTCTTCTGAAAATCATAAAAATAACTAGCTATCCCATTAACACTGACAATTCTACAAGACTAGTCAAACATACATATTCACCTATATACGCACATGCCGGATGCCCTGTGTTAGATGCTACTGACTCTCGGCATTATCCCCTTTTTACCCAACCCCATATCCAGAAACTTAGCTGTCATACTCGGTGCTTCCTATAGGATTATTTCCATATATCCATGAAATTAATAAAAACTCAGACAAGACTATTTAGTGGTTTTCAATGTTGCCTCCCTCACCCCATCCTCAACTTGGTGACTTACCTTATGCTGAAAACTCCTGAATGCTGAGCCCCAAGAGCCACTGCAGTGTGCTTCCTCAGAGGGCTCCGGTGCAGATCTGCAGCCTCACGTTTCAGGTATGGCAAGCCCATGGATAAGGGCAGAGCCTCTACAAACATTCAAAATTCTATTTGCACACTATAAAGAGAGACACTTTACAGATGATGCCTTACCTATCTTTATAGCTTGGGTATTTTCAGGTGTAGGTCACCCGTATTAATGACATATAACAGAATTCCTCTCCAAAAAATGACAACTTGGACATCAACATTATAGCATGTCGTATCATAGCAACACACTTGGCTCTAAGTTATTGGAACTAAGAGCTAAGAATTGAAAAGCAATTCCAAAATAATGTTGACTCATTTGGAGGCTTCCCCTCAAACTGAATAGAGCAGCAGCAAACAATATCAGTCCTGCAGTGAGAATGATGCAAGAAGACACTGTGACTACCTGATTTCCTCTTTAATTTTAATTTGGAAAAAAAAAAGGTGGTATAACTATGCTTTTTATATCACTTAAAGAACAGGAAAAAACGCTGTCACCAATGGAATTATATTCTAGAAAGACAAGTGGAATTCAAAGACTTAAATGAAACAATCTCTAATGTGTTTCATTTTCATAGGTAATCACATGCATAAGTCTACAAATGATCTTCATGAGTTCTGTTTTCTATTCAGGATAGCAATACTGACCAAGTAATCATAAAGGGAATGTTAACAAACCAAATGCCACAAACTGAAGGTACTGATACCACCATCAATATTAATCACAATTTGTACTTTTCAGATTGTATTTTTAAGACAATTATCTGCTTTCTTGATCTAAAAATAAATATTCAGACCTTCCACTCTCTGGGTTCAGCTTTCTAAAGGACAACACGGATCCCAGAGAGGTAGAATGATTTGCACAATCTAGAATCGAGATATCCTAGCTCCAAGTACAATGTCTATTCTACCCAAGGCTTCATAGCCATTACTCATTTTTGTTACAAATGTATATTGGGCTTTAAAGTGATCCGTAGTATGGTATCTTACAAGGTAACCTAATAGGAAACTCACAAAGACAAGCAGAGCTGGGTTTGAATCCCAAGTCTCCCAGATACTAATTACTTTGATGTCTCTGGGCCTTTGATGTCCAGGTTTCTATTCTATAAAAAAGAATATACACTACCTCACACTATTGTTCTAAGGATTCAATGAGATACTGTTTATGGAGTGCCCTGCACAATGGTTGGCACATACTGAGTACTTAACTGTAACTTTGGAAAACGTACTTAATCTTTTTTGCCTTGGGATCCTCATCTGTAAAATAGGAATGAGATTCTATTTCATCAATTCTAACATGCTTTCTTATTTTAACTTCTTTAAAATTGGGGTGCATCTTACATTTCCGTCTTACAAGACATCTTGCAATTGCTACTATAAATCAGGTGTCACTAGAGATATAGTTGTGTGAAAGCCTTTTGTTAGCATCTTCTAGCAAGAGCCAGAAAGCATCATCAATATATTTTAGACTTGATGAAGCACAATAATCAAGCTATTTCTGATGGCTATTGTGAGGACTGAGCTAGTGTATACACACAAAGTTTGGAACAACGCACAGGACATAGCAGTAAGTCCTATGTAAGTGTTAGCTGCTATTAGCAGCAGCATCTGGCAATCTAGCTTCCAAGGGTCAATATGCAGGCAATGCCCTTTTCTTTCCTACAAGTATAAGAAAGTACACTGAGCCCCTAAACAAAAAATTAATTTTAAAAAATAAGGATCTCCTAAGAGTATTTGAAGCCAAGTTTACATATTTAAACTCTGTACCTCATTGAGAAACTACTGTGTACCTCAAGGAAATGTCTTCTAAAAATTCAAGAACGCCCTTAATTCGGGATACGCAAAAGACTTTCTAATTCAGCTCACTTCCAGCTCTCCTCCTTCTACAAATATTTTTTCAAAGTGCTCTCCACCCTCCCTATCATCAGATTAACAATAGAAAGCAAGAAACACCCACTTCCTCAACATGTACTATGTGGTGTTAATTGCCTGGTGAGAAAAAGTCAATCATCTTCCTTATTTTTAAAATAAAACATATTTTCATCTGTAATACCAGTGACTGGGGAGGCTGAGGATGGCCTGAGGTCAGGAGTTCAAGACTAGATCAGGCAACCAGTCAGACTTATCTCTTAAAAACACATACATATATATATATATTTTTTTAATTTTATTATTTTTTTTTTCTGAATTAGCCAGATGTGATAGTGTTAGCCCGTAGTCCTAGCTATTTGAAAGGCTGAGGCAGGAGGATTGCTTAAGCCCAGGAGTTCAAGTCTGCAGTAAGATATAATCACACCACTATCCTGCAGTCTGGGCAACAGGGTAACATCCTATCTCTAAATAAATTTTTTAATAAATGAAAATAACTGCACATGTACCCCTGAACTTAAAAGTTGAAGGAAAAAAAACACTTAAAATTTTTTTAAATTATTTTATAGGAAATAAGATACAGCATATTTAGTTAAGAGCAAAGGGAAAACATCTAGTTCTATTTCTCTGAAAGATCTAGAACATAGCAGGAACTTCAGATAAATATATCTCTTTATCGTTATCTGCTGCATAAAATGCTTTCTACCCTTGAGAACTTGTGTATCATAACACACACAGACATGTCACAGCCCATATTTTCCATGAAGTGTCATATTAAAATCAATCATAGACTCTAACCTTAGGATCCCCTACTGTAAGGCAGAATCATTCTGAAACTACTCTAGATAGGTCAGTCATTTTTTTAAAGCCAAATTTTCCCTCTATTATTCATATTTAGTATAGAGCAAAAGAAAGGGGAAGAATAACATTAACTGAACAGCCACCGTGTAACAAATACATTTGATTTTACTTTATCTGCTCATCATCCTTAAAAATCACTTAATGTCTGGACAAGCCTCATACCATAAAGAGAGGAACGTTTTCTCAGTGTGTTGGCAAATAGGCTTGGGTTCAAATTCTGACTTTCCTACTTTGTATGACCTGATCCAAGTTTTTTAAACTAAGCCTTATTCTTTCAACTGTGAAATGGAGACAATAACAGTACTAATTTCATTGGGTTCTTTTAAGGACTAAGTGAGATAATCCACAGAAATCTCAGCACTTTGTCTGCCCTGTGCTAAGTGTTCAGTAATTGAAACTTATCAACAATACTATTATTAATAGTATCACCAAGTTCTTCATTAACAAAGCATGTAATTTTATAATCTATTCCTAACGTAACCAGTACCTGAACGTTCAGAAAAATCACACTAAGAAATTCAACTGGGCCCATTCATAACAATCACAGTAAGAAATTCGACTGGGCCCGGCATGGTGGCTCACAGCTGTAATCCCAGCACTTTGGGAGGCCAATCTCCTGACCAGGTCAGGAGATTGAGTATCCTGGGCAACATGGTGAAACTCCATCTCTACTAAAAATACAAAAATCAGCTGGGCATGGTGGCATGTGCCTGTAATCCCAGCTACTCTGGAGGCTGAGGCAGGAGAATCACTTGAACCAGGGAGTCAGAGGTTGCAGTGAGCCAAGATTGCACCACTGTACTCCAGCCTGGACGACAGAGTGAGATTCCGTCTCAAGAAGAAAAAAGAAAAAAAAGAAATTCAGTTTAAGTGCAATGACTTTGGGGTGCATTATCCATCACAAAATCTACCTTGGCATTCCTATCTAAGAAAGAGTTGTATATGGGTGATTTCTGGCAATTTCACATCTAGGAGTACCCGTCAGTTGAACGCTCTAATTTCCAGAAGAGGAAACTGAAACCCAGAGAAGGCAAATGAATAGTCTGAAATAAACCAGCTAGTTAGATATGGGGCTAGGCTAGATCTCAAGTCTCCTAAATTCCAGTCACGTATTTATATTTTTGTTCTGTCTGTATTTCTTCCTTCAGAGCTAGACACCTCAGCTATAGCTGCTTGAATTCAAGAATTGAAAGTTTTCTTCAGCGACAGCAGTTATAGCAGTGATAAACTGCTTTACACGTAAGGGTTTGGGCTCTTAGAGAGGTTGCCTAAAGGATCGGTACTTCCGTCCTCAGAGCCCCTCTATCAAGAAGCACTCCTTTCTGATGGGTTCTGCCAAGGAGAGAAGTCATAAATTGGGAGCTTGACTGCTTCTTGTTGGTCATTGCAAATCCAAGAAAAAAAAATAACTCTTCTTGATACTTGTACCATATCCCATAAATAGTCTTTCTTTTCTATGGTTTCAAAATGAAAAGCAAGCAGAAGAATCATGAAATTTTTCATTTCCCTGTAGAAATGCTCAACCCCTTAGTATTTTCCTCTCAAATATTATTTTAGGTCAGGCACAGTGGGCTCATGCCTGTAATGCCAGCACTTTGGGAGGCTGAGGCGGGTGGATCACCTGAGGTCAGGTGTTCGAGACCAGCCTGGCCAACGTGGTAAAACTGTGTCTTTACTAAAAATACAAAAAATTAGTCGGGCGTGGTGGTGGGTGCCTGTAATCCCAGATTCTTGGGAGGCTGAGGCAGGAGAATCACGCCGAGATCACACAATTGCACACCAGCCTGGGCAACACAGAGAGACTCCATCTCAAAAAAATAAAAAGATTATTTTCTATGACATCATGTCTCTATAAGGATACTACTGGCCCTCTCTCTTTCTCCTTCATTCAATAAATACTGATTGAATATTTATTATATGCTGGGTGCCAGGGTACAATGGGGATCCAACTCAGTTATACACAAAGTGGAAAATGCACCTCTTACTCCTTGACTACCTTAGACCTTATGGTTTTAGCCATTTCGCAATCTAAGTTCTTCCAACAACTAAACCTGCATTTGGGTTTTCAAACAAGCCAACCTGTGTTAATATTTTAAGCTTCTCTCATAAGCATAACACAATATGACATCAAAATTCACATCCCCAGTCACATGTTTGACAAAGATGCAAAAGGAATAAATATGCAAAAGGAATAAAAACGTGAAGCCCGGTTGGGCACAGTGGCTCACTCCCAGCACTTTGGGAGGCTGAGGTGGGCAGATCACTTGAGGTGAGGAGTTCGAGACCAGCCTGACCAACATGGAGAAGCCTTGTCTCTAATAAAAATACAAAAATTAGCCAGGCATTGTGATGGGCACCTGTAATCCCAGCTACTCAGGGGGTCTAAGGCAGGAGAATCACTTGAACCTGGGAGGCAGAAGTTGCAGTGAGCAGAGATGGCGCGACTGCATTCCAGCCTGGGAGACAGGGGGAAAAAAAAACAGGTGAAGCTCAGTAGAGAATAAAGAGACAGTCTCAACCTCCCAGGCTCATGTGATCCACCATGCACAATACCCTGCTTTTTTATTTTTGGAGAGACAAGGTCTCCCTATGTTGCCCAGGCTGATCTCAAACTCCTGAGCTCAGGAGGAGAAAAGAAACATAGGCATATTATAAAGAATTTTTTATCTGAAAATCTTTTGAATTTTTTAGAATGGTTAATAAAATATTTGAGTGTTTCTATGTATCTCATGGACTTCACTTCTTGGAGTGCAAAATGATTTTTTGCAAAGAAACAGGAGCAGGTAAATATAACTATCACTTTTCAGATAGCACAGAACATCAGCATTTATGTGAATTACAACACCACATGTTCTTTCACATAATTTAACATCCCCTTGTCCAGGGATTTATTTTGAAAAGTTTCCATATGCAAATGACTGGCATAGAAGTATAAAGCTTATCAGTACTTTTAGGTTTAACGTTAAAAAGCAGTAGTCTTTTCTTTCTTTCTTTTTTTTTTTTTTTTATGATGCCATTGTGGACCCATACCTGGCATTCTAGAAGGAAACACATAGCAGACACCAGAAGTAAGGAATAGAAGTCACACGGCAAGAGGCAGGATAGAAGAGGCATTTTATAATGTACCAAGATATTTGAGTAGTGACAACTTGTATTTACCAAATGAGCCCTGGCCACAACTCTCTCAGACCATTACAATCCTACACCCTGAGGTGAAACACAGCCACTTTCACTACAGAAGCAAGATGCATACTGCACAGCAGCAGGGACCCCATTTCCATGAGTGGAGACAGCCTATGTCTTCTGTGCAATTTGCTCATCTCAACTTCTGGTCTAGACATGCGTAGATATGGTTCTCCCTCCCTAATATATCAAAAGCAGAAAAAATGATGTTATAAACAAAGAGCTTGTCTTATTTGTGCAAAATGTCAGGTGGAGAGAAGTGGAAATCTAAGAGCTTTGAAAAGCAGAAGGAAACAGGAATATAGTTCTTCCTTGTTTCTTATTGAAAGATGAGTTTGATTTTATCTAAATTCAGAATATTCAATAGCTCCATTTTATATGCACCTATAACCTAAGATTCATAAGTGCATTCCTATTAGTATGGTATTTTATAATAACAAAAGTCCCTCTTTAACAGTGCTATAAGGCAGCAGAGAAGTTCATGGCTAGAAACTGTTGAGATCTTAAGTTGCATAGCATTTGACTTAATACTTATAAATGTACCTGCTATATAGAAATATTTTATTTGCCCCATTTAAACAAAGTGGCGAAAACTTTTTAAAAAATATTTTGAAATGGAGTCTTGCTCTATCACTCAGGCTGGAGTGTAATCGCACGATCTCAGCTCACTGCAAACTCTGTCTCCTGGCTTCAAGCGATTCTCCTGCCTTAGCCTCCTAAGTAGCTGAGACTACAGGCCTGTGCCACCAGCACCAGCTAATTTTTTTTTTATTTTTATTTTTAGCAGAGACAGGGTTTTACCATGTTAGCCAGGATGGTTTCGATCTCCTGAACTTGTGATCCGCCCGCCTCTGCCTCCCAAAGTGTTGGGACTGTAGGAGTGAGCCACTGCGCCCAGCCTCAAGGTAAAAACTTTTAGACCAACTGCTAGAAAACTGCTAGACCAACTTCTAGCAGATGGTACTATTCCAACATAGCAAGTTCTTCAGACAAAAAATAAGATTATCTGCAAGTACTGTTGAATTAAATACACATTTCTAGGTCAAGCACGGTGGCTCATGCCTGTAATCCCAGCACTTTGGGAGGCCAAGGCAGGCAGATCACTTGAGGTCAGGAGTTCAAAACCAGCATGGTGAAACTCTGACTCTACTAACGATACCAAAAAAAAATTAGCCTGTAGTCCCAGCTACTTGGGAGGCTGAGGCCGGAGAATTGCTTGAACCAGAGAGGTTCATGGGACATCACGCCACTGCAGTCCAACCTGAGCAACAGAGTGAGACTTCATCTAAATATATATATACACATACATATAAATATATATACACACATTTCTAAATGCTTCTAAAACATATCTTATTTTTAACAGCATCTTCCAGATGTTCATAATTTTTCTTAAGAGAAAGGCCAGGATGAAGAAAAAAATAAGCAGTCATACCCCATAAGCCCAACTACTATTTCTGAAATGTTACCATCACCTCAGTGGGTGACCAACATAACCCAGTAAGCAAATAATAAAAGCAACTATATGTTAGGACACAAGAGGGCATTGAAATGATTCCTGAAAGTAGAAAAGGTTCTGCAAGACCACTGTCAATAACTCAAATGAGATATCATTTTTTTTTTAATTTATGGAAACTATTGGCTCATTTACCCAAAAGACATGATGTGTTGCCCAAGGCTCTTTCAGGATCAGAGTATGAATGTTTATAGAGATTTATGGAAAGTAAACTCACCAAAACCCTGGGTCTTACAGTACTTACAGTTTGTGACAAGTATCTCTTGCTTTCTAGATACAGGGTAACAGAAAAAGAAAAAAAAGCACGCACAGAGTATATGTTACTTGTAAAACATGGCCAACACAGGGGAAACAGGTGTGGCTGTTTGGTTTGCTTAGTAATATCTCAAATAATGTAAAAGCACGCACAGAATAGACACACCACACCACAATAGTATGCCCAACCCATATCTGAATATGCCTCTTACCACCACCAAGAAGCTGAGCAGTCTCCAAGAATTTGGTACAAGTGCAAAATCTGTAAAGGACGCTCCCACTCTGTGGTTGCTTTTTGTGAGCACATAGAAGACGAGGAAACACAGACTTCAGAGTCAAGTTCTCCTAAATTCAAATAATAGTACACCACCTCCTACCTGTACAAAGTGAGCAGCAAAATGCCTGATGAAAATCAATAAATCATAGCTATTCTTATGATTATGACAGATTAAGGCCTGAACCAGGCTTCAGCCTGCTGCTTTTTCCTCTCTACCTTCAAGAGGACACTGAGACTTTATAAAGCTCTCAATGTATGAGGTGGAAATACTCTATGAAAATGAAAAAGAGAAACAACTGAAGTACCTGGAAGGTGGAATATCTGCCAGTCCAGCTGGTAAGTACAGGGATTCTGGCATTAGCAAGCTCGGAAGAGGTAAAATGAAGAGCTCTGGTTATGTCAGAGTGCCAT